TCAACTACCTTGTTTGTTTTATTCCTCAACTACCTTGTATAGACACAAAAGCCAGCTTTGAAGTTTCCTTGAGATTGAGAACTATATTGTTATCACCTCATCTACAGGTATGTCCATTAGCATTTGAAATAATAGAGCAGATGGATCGCTCTACCTGACCACTTCTATTCTCAACTCCTATTTCTCACTGCTTCTTCGACTTTATGGCTCTGTATAGACTACTACATCGAGTCCATTAGCTAGCCTTGAGTTCTTACTAGAAGCAAGCCTTCTTTAAGTCTTCCACTGCCAGAGGAAAAAAGGGGGGGGGGGGGCATTTATGTGCCGCTAGTCTCTGTCTGCTGTTTTCTTTTTTCAAAGTTACACAAGCACACCTTCGAGGATGGCTCATTCACTACTCAACTCAATTACACAGCTCAGCATGAAGCTCAAAAACGCTTACACCGATATTTCATCCTTTCCACCACCACCGCTCGGTAAAAGCTGATAAATTCGACGGTCCCTCGAAGAAAGTTAAGAAGGCAAGTGGAGGTTGGCGTCGCGGCGGGATTAGTTTTTACAATGGTCTTGCGCTGACTGGTCGTACACTCGTTTTCTGTTGGCCTGTGCGTGATCAACTCTAAAGACAAAACGGTAGCTAGCGGCAAAACTAGGTGAATTCGTTCCTCTATTCTACGGGCAGGGTGTTTCGTAATCCGTAGAGGTATCCGTACGCCCCTGCCACTTTAACGCTGCGCGGGTATTGTGTAAGTAACAAAAGGCTTATATTGGCTAGAGATGCTTTGAGTTTTATCACCTTTTCAATGTGTCGATCCAGTCGTTGTTGCTTGAATTTAAAAAATAAAATAAATAAAAATTATTTGACGAATGTGGTTCTCGCACATCCGCTCGGCCAGCTGGAGATGTTCCGGCATGATCTGTACTCAAGATACTTCGAGGTTGAGATCATGATATTTCCTTGCGTTGTGGAACTAAGTGCATTGCCCCATTTTTTGATGTATCTGAGATATTTTCCATAGCACAGGTGTTTCGTTCAGTTCCTATAGCGTACATGTAGTTTCCCATAAAATCCTCATCTTTGGTAAAAAAGAAATTGGAATGGGTGAGCCATGTTTCCAGAAAACCAAAGAAATTGCGTCATTTTTTAGTAGCAACTATGAGCTGGCGTAGAATGATTCAACTTTGGATGTTGACACTCAAGATTAGCACATAATTCCACTTTCTTAGACGTTGCATCACGCGCGCGCGGTTGCTTCGCCGCGACTTGTAAGCTTCTGATTCCTTGGAGAGATCTGGAGAACATCAAAATATGCACTGTTGTTCATCAGACATTGAGAATTGATACTGTCACATAGCCAGATCCGTAATTTTCAAGCCATATTTGTCATTTCTACAGTACCGGCCTATCTCGAAGATGTGCTAAGACGAGAACGCGAAGCTCATGGCTGAGTGGAATGTGACTATTACCAATACCGGGTTTGCGGATAACGTCGAAGACCTAGGCAATCTATATTAGAAGAGGGCTTGAAATAGGGAACTCTGGGCTAATCAGAGCTGGGAAGTTGAATCCATCGTGATGTTTACTTGGATTCATGTCTGAATTTCTCCAACTAAGGAAGCTCTTGAGGCACCAGCCTCCGGCCTTTCTCGAGCAAATCACCGTTGGAAACCAGTTCTAGATTTTCGACCGTCTCAGCATTTCTCAGTCAACCATACAAGTATATTGACGCGCTAGAACCAGGCTAAACATAGTCACTCCCAATGAAATATCTGTACAGGACAAGTCTCCAAAGTTGCCTATTCCGAATCGTCAACGTCATATCCGACGACCTCGTACTCTGTCGGGTGTAAGCGACACCATTGAAGAGAGCCGGTGGGATACCTCCAATCAATTGCCGCCCCAATGTCACACTGGGCAATTTTACATTCTGAACTCTATTCTAGCAAAGACGTCTTTCTGGACGTCCGAGGCAGCCGGTGAAGATGCAGTACTTAAAAGCTTCTCGCCGTAGTCGCACAAACTGTAAACACCTGTGAGCGATCAACACTGTCTCACGTAATCTTCCTCTTCGCATACATATACACATAACATTTGATTCGTGGACATGCTGAACAGCTCTTACTCCATGCAGCAGTTCACCAGGGCCCTATTGGGCGGCCTCTTGTCAATCTCCCCTCTCGCAGTAGAAGGCTACTCGTGCTCCTCGCCCGCTGAAGCATGCCTGATCCTCGCCTCCACGCTACCGCCTGAAGTGTTCACGGCACCGAATACGACAGACTACCAGTCGATTCGGGACGGATACTGGAGCCAAACCGCCGGAGGTCTGAGCCCAGCCTGCATTACACGTCCCAGGACCACCGAGGATGTAGCTTCCATCGTCAAAGTGCTCTCGACTTGCGGCAACGATGTCCGACTCGCCATCAAGAGCGGCGGCCACGGCTCGTCTCCGGGATGGTCCAGTACCGACGGCGGCGTCCTCGTCGCAATGGACGCCATCAGCGAGATTCAGAACGTAGCAGACAAGGGCTACGCTCTCGTCGGCTCCGGCGCCCGCTGGGTGGACGTGTACAAGACCCTCGAGCCCCAAGGCGTGACCGTCATCGGGGGCCGCTTCGCGTCCATTGGCGTCGGCGGCCTGCTCCTCGGTGGAGGCATGAGCTACTTCAGCGGACTCCACGGCATGGCGTGCGACAATGTGCTCAACTACGAGGTCGTCCTCGCCGACGGCACCGTCGTCAACGCCAACCTGACCTCCGAGCCGGACCTCTTCCGCGCCCTCAAGGGCGGCGGAAACCAGTTCGGCATCGTGACGCGCTTCAGCCTCAAGACGTATCCGCACGCCAACCAGGTCTGGGCCGGCATCCTGACGTTTTCCCTAGACAAGGCCAAGGAAGTCTTTGCCGCCACGCAGGCCTTCAGCGCAAAATACGACCCCCAATCGCACATCTATCTCAGCATGGGAGGCGGCGCGAACCCGCAGCTGGACTTTCTCAACGTCTACGTCTTCTACAACGCCTCCTCGCCGCCCGCGGGCGACGCCAGCCCCTTTGCGGGCTTCTACGCGGCCAAACCCACGGCAGACAGCACCGCCACGCAGAACTTTTCCGCCCTCATCACGTCCAATAACAACGGCAACCTCCCCTTGAAGCGCTGGCTCATCGGGGGCCACACGTTTCCCAACCTCCAAGGGCAGCAGGGCGCAGATCTCTACCTGCAGCAGTGGCAGGCGTTCCGCGACAAAGCTAACGCCACGGCGGCGGGTGACCAGGCGCGCATCTTCTCCATGGCCCTAGTCCCGGTCCCCGCGGCCGTCACGCGCGCCGGCGACCGCGTGGCCGCCCTCGGCGGCGTCAAGAACGTGATGGGGCTCGAGGCGGACGCCGGGGACGCCGCGTGGGTCGACTACACGCTCGCGTGGGCGGAGGCTAAGGACGACGAGAGGATGTTTGGGTTCGTCGAGGGTATCAGCGCGGACGGGGACCGGCTGGCGACGTCGTTTGCTCCTGGGGCGAGGAGTTCGAATGCTGTGGAGGGGGATGGGGCGGTGTCGGCGGAGAAGGCGGCGTTTTATAGGACGAACCCGCGGTATATGAATTATGCGCTTTTAAATCAGCCCGTACAGGCGAGTTATGGCGAGGAGAATCGGCGGTTTTTGAGAGAGGTGCAGAGGCGGTATGATCCTGCTGGGTTGTGGAGGAGGGATGGTGGGTTTCTCTGGGGGTAGGTAGCTCTTAAGCTACTGATAGCCAAGACTTGAGGTATCGATGATAAGCACTGATGCATGTCTAAAAGTCGAATAAACGGAAATTCATCATTTCAAAGACCATTCAGGACGGTGAAAGCCTTGAGACGAGAGAGATGGAGCTAGACCTCTGAGTCTGGGAGGGAGAAAGAGGGACCGGACCTTTGAGTTCTTGCATTGTTGACCCTGACGTGCATTATTCTCTTACTTTGGCTTCACGTTAGACCCTCAATCGTTCACTACTAGTCACCCTCTCGCATTAGAGGACGGGTGACGAATACGGAGACGAATAGCAATGCGTTTTAGTGGGGGCTGGATGCGGTGGTGCTTAACTTTGGAGGCCGATATCGTACAGCTGGCAAAATATGTCCTTCTTAAAGACGGCGATGTGGATAACTTTGCGGGAGTTGTCAGTACCAGGCATGGAAGAAGATCTCACAATGGCCGTGAGACGTTGGAAAGGCTAGTAATCTTTGCTGCATTTATAGCTGCTTCTGTTGCTGACTGTTATGGTGCCGTCTTCTTGGCTCGGCTCAACATTCAAGCATACGCCGACAACCATGGCCACTTGCTCTAAGGAGAATATCCGTCAGTATAAGTAGCTAATGAGTCTATGTCGCAAGTGTTTGGCAGACTTTCCAAAAAGAGGAGTCTCACAGTATCATTGACCATCATGAGTCGCTTTTTCGGAAATCCCTTCACTTAAAATTCTATTGAGAATCAGACTGAAGTCATTGCGCAGGACTTGGTCAGGAAGCAGATGGAAAATAGAAGATATGAAGGAATGCCGGTGCCTATATAAAGTCCATTGCAGTATCAATTGGGGAAAAACATGTGTAACACTATGCACTTTTTCAATACATATCTTGTATTCGGGTCGCCTACTAACGGAAATTCCAAGCTATGGACTACTATGGTCGCTTCAGTCTCAAAAGTAGAGCATATTTGCTGCCATCCTAAGGTAATTGGTAGAGAAAAGCATCTATACTCCGGGTTCCCATCATGATTCGTGATTCGTGAATCGTATAAAGGTCCAGCTACCCCACCACCGTCGCCGTAGTCTGAGCTGACAGTAGGCCGATCCTCTGTCATTCTATATAGGCGATCAGCATCCATAATTGGTCCTCGTGTGTTATGAGCTCTTACCTTTTAACCTTGATATTACAAATCCCGAGTCCTCCGTGGACCATATCAGAGGCCCAATTGTGTAGCTGGTAAATCGCCGAAATTCGATCAAAAGGTGCACATATGGCAGCATCATTCCTCAGCCGGCTCAGCCTCGACATCAGAAGGCCTTGTCTCACGCGCTTTCTCAGCGCGACCCTCACCAGCCTTGACAACCCGTCGAAGGACGCTCATCTTGCGCTCGAAATCCTCGAGCAGCGGTCCATACTCCTCGCTCCCAGACTTGACCACACCGCTATTAGAGCTGGGCAAGCTCTCTGCACGATCCTTCTCCTTGTCAACCATCGTCGTGGCGCTCTCGCTTTCGACGCCCTCAATCTTGAGCACCAGCCCGCCCTCCTTCTCGCCCTCTTGACGAGATATGCTGGCGTCGGTCACGGCAAAGTCTGCACTGAGGCTAGCGACGGAGGAAACCTTCCACTGGCCGTCTTCGCCTGGTACGACATCGAGGAGGACGGCTCGGTTCGGGTTGGGGTTCGGGTTCTTTCCGGGCCCGGACTTGGAGGTCGAGGCCGAGGGTGTCGAGATTTGATTCGAGGAGTGGTGCGCTGCGAGCGCGGTTGTGAGGGTATCCGGGTCGTCGTCTAGGAAGATGTACTTGACGGTCGGGTGATGGGTGGTGTTGGCCGTCGAGTTGGAGACAAGGGTGAAGAAACCGGCGGGATCGAGCTTCGGAAGAAGGTCTTCGTCGACGGCCTCGTTTTCAACCGCGGCATCTGCTTCTAACGTGGGGATGATGGCCGTTGTTGTATCGGTGCCAAGCTTGTTGTCGGGTGGTGAGCCGGCAAGGGGGGCCTTCTGGCCTTGTGAGAAGGACGAAGACAAAGGCGCCTGGGCGGGCTGTTCGGCCTCGGGGCGCGGGGACGTCGGGACGTCGGCCATCGTCAGACGATATAGTTCCTCCGTAGTCGCGTGATCCTTTCGAGGGGGAATGTATTCCCAGGGTGGTCGGGGGCGAGACGTCCGGCGGGGAGTTGAGGTGTTGGTATTGACGGTGTCCTCGCGTCGCGCTGACTGTCATCTTTTCCGGGGGTAGGATGGAAGCTGCGGTCGGAGGTGGTCTCGAAGATGAGCTGCAGGGTGGCACGGGAGCTAGCTGGATAGCTGTTGGGCGCCATGGTGGAGCGGTTCCAGGCTGCTGGGGACGGCTTATCGCTATCGCCACGTGACGGCGGGTGCCTGATCTGGCATGTGATTGCGAACCTCCAACTTTGAACATCAGTTCGATACCTTAGGTAAAGGAATAAGATCGAGAGACCGCATTGCCTCCAACAGTAATTTGGTGCTTCCGTCAGAAATATCTATAAGAAGATATTCTATGACAGTTCATGATCCTCTGACTTCTTCTTGGCATGCACAGTCAAGCTAGGGCCATACTTTCTTCCCGTCAGGTATTGGTCTCAGGTCAACGGAATGAGACGTGATTGTTGAAAGAGTCTTTGCTTGTCACTACCATCAACACTATAATGATTTTTTTCAATCTTGACCCAAAGAATAGACCATATGTGGAAATCTTTTTTTCCGGCTCGCGACGGGATGGCCAACAGTACCGAATTGTCTGTTCGTCAGTCCAAAAGACCCTTCGCAAGGGCCTTGGGTATCGCTAAAAAACAGTTCGCCAAACGCCAACCATGTCAAATCATTTCCATGAGAAACCCCTAGCTCTCATTTGTCTCATTCTTTGGATCAGTAAACTCGAATTCTAGAATATATCAGTTGGTGTTGACTCAAAGAGAATGTCGTCAAACAGACGAGATGAAACCTACTTTGACGGCACATGGGGCATTGGCCCTTTGCTGAGTCCTGCTTAATCCACTCCAGGATGCAATGCTTTGAGCTGTGTTAGTAAAGGCTATGCGGTAACAAGCAAAGACAAGCACCTACCATATGGAAGTTATGACCACACTTGCCAGACACTAGTTGTTATTAGTTACGCAATGGTGTTGTAGGATGTGGAAAAGAACATACAGATGCTGCAGTCATCACCAGGGTATTTGCAGGTTGGACATGTGCCGTCAAAGTGGACTTGGCAGATACCACAGACATCGTCTTCGGGGATATCCCACCGCCACGTCGCGACGGTATTCCACCGGGTGATCTTGACCTTCATCGGGGATGTTGTTGTTGGTAGGATTGGATATCTGGGGGATATGATTCGTTTGTCGTCAGTGTTTTCAGAGAGACGCAGTTGCGAAAAAGAGTGATATGCTTGAATGAGACCCTCTGTTTCCTCCAGTTGCATGAAGTGGTAATCTTGTTGTCGTGATTTTAGCCCTGGTGCTTTTGTTTGCTGGAGTTGGGAAGGCGGGACCACGGCGGACTGGCAACTGCCCATGTGAGGTGGGCCTTGTGAAAACTGCGGGGCAACAGGGCCCTGCAGCCAGTCAATCATCTCAAAACCAGATGGCGACATGGCCCAAGCTCCCCGCATTCGCGCCAACCATTCCCACTTACGAAGTACGTACAGCCAGTCGGCCACCGCACCTTGTCATTTTTGCTTCGTTTTCCCAGGCGGTTTGTAGCGATGCTCCACTTAAACGGAGTCACTGGTGACCGGCCGGACCCCGACCTCCTCTGTCTCCTCCCGCTTATCACTGACTGGGAACCAGTGGACGCCCCCCGAATTCCAGCGACTCTGACAATCGCTCCGAGGTAGAGGTACCCCATTCCCATTCCATCCTATCCTTGCGGCCTGGCTACATTGCTCCTTCTCCAAAAAATCCCGTCCGACACCACCACCAGTGACCACCGGCCGCGGCGTACAGAACATACAACCATCAGCCAAAGGGAAAAACGGTAGTGACGGCAAGCCTCATTTAGAGCTTTCCCCTCTTCCACATTACCTTCCAATTACCTCCAACCCCGCACTGAAAACCACCACATGCAATGCCTCTGCGGCTCAAGCATTTGTGGTGATTTTCCTCTTTCCCTCTAACCCTTCCGAAAGGTAAAGGGCCCAGCGTTCCGGGCTCCCGCCCTTTGCCGTCGTCACCGACTGATATCGACCGACACCGCTCCTTCCGACCCGGCAATTCCTCCCAACCTGATCTGACATCACTCGCCCATACCAGAACCAGTTTGATTTGATTCAGACACAGTCAAGATGGTTACCATCGCTATTCTACGACCCGCGCGCGGCACAAAGCTGTCGCAATTCACTGCGCGCTCTTTCCAGGCCACCGCCACCTTCGGTGCGCGCCGCTCCTTCTCCTCCTACCTCGTCACCCCCAAGGAGCTCGACGAGGCCCTCAAGAAGAACCCTCCCTCCAAGATCAGCCCCGAGCCGCGCACCATCCCCCTCTGCGCCTCATGGTTCCTTCCCAACGATGGCCGCACCGGCATTGAGGTCTACCGTCAACAGCGGATTCCCAAGGCCCGTTTCTTCGACCTCGACAAGGTCATTGACCGCCGTAGCGAGTACCCACATATGCTGCCTTCTGCCAAGGACTTTGCAGCGGCCATGAGCGAGCTGGGCATCCGCAAGGAGGACACCGTCGTCGTCTACGACACCAAGGAGCTGGGTATCTTCAGCGCCCCGCGCGTCGGCTGGACCCTCAAGATCTTTGGCCACCCCAAGGTCCACGTCCTGAACAACTTCAAGCTCTGGGTCGAGCAAGGCCTTCCTACCGAGTCTGGCGAGCTCTATAATGTCGAATGCTGTACCTACCCCATCCCCAAGTTGGATGAGGGCAAGGTCGCCGAGTTCGAGGAGGTGCGCGAGATTGCGCTGGACCACAACAAGGAGGGCGCGGAGGGCGTACAGATTCTTGATGCACGGTCTCCCGGCCGTTTCGCGGGCACCGACCCGGAGCCTAGACCTGGCCTGTCGTCTGGCCACATGCCCGGCTCCATCAACATCCCGATGACCGCCGTCTTGGATCCCGAGACCAAGACGTTCTACCCCGCGGAGAAGCTCAAGCAAATCTTCCAGGAGAAGGGTGTCAACCCTGAGAAACCTATCGTCTCGAGCTGTGGAACCGGCGTGACTGCCTGTGTTATTGAGACCGCTCTCGAGGAGGCTGGATGGGGCTCTCCTGAGACGCGCAGAGTTTACGATGGAAGCTGGACGTAAGTTATATTGATTCTCACCAATCCCTAAACATTTGAGAAACTGACATATTTCATAGTGAATGGGCACAGCGGGTCAAGCCTTCTGACTCACTCATCAGGAAGAACGAGTAAGAGATGGAGCGAGAGAGTGCAGCGTCGAGTTGCTTCTAGTTGCGATACCCTCACTACCCCACTTCTGGTTTTCTCTGGTTTTCATGTACGATATCCGGCACATCACAGCTTTGGAGTTTGCATTGCGCATGGGAGAGGTTCGTCAGCCTTTTGGTCGTTTGGGGGAGGGGCGTAGGTGGCTGGTGTACATAGCAGGCCACGGTAATGGATCACGATTATGGACAACTTGTGTCTGAAAGTTTGCAGTGCGCATGTGAGTGAGGAGAAGAAGAATTATCGGTACGTCCCGGTACTATGGGTATGTTGATAACTGACGAATCTGCATTTTCTCCCGTATTTGATGGCCGAGAACACCCTCCCCAATTGAAGTACGAGACCGCCCAAACGCAGTAAACTTGCACGCGTGACACACTGTGTTGCAGTTCGGTGTGGTTCGGTGAGCAAACACCAAGGTGGAGACCCCCACCCTTCACCTTGAATTCCTGCCTCGAAGCTCAGGCCATCCTCTTAGGGCTCGCCAAACCCGTCCAATGAGCCCGCCTTGAGCACAATCGCAAAATATTCAGCCGGCCCTGACAGCCACCACAGACCCCCGCAAAAAAAAGTTGTACCCGAATCGCGAAATAACTTCCTCCCCCTTCGAAACACCACGCAACCGGACTAACCGCAGCAGCAGTCTCTTTCACTCGCGCGCTCAACACACCTTACCCGACGACACAAAATGGCTGACCGTGGTGCAAGCGCCCCCGCCCGTGGAGGTGGTGGTTTCGGAGCTCGTGGCGGTGACCGTGGCCGTGGACGTGGCCGTGGTCGCGGACGTCGCGGCGGCAAGAGCGAGGAGAAGGAGTGGCAGCCCGTCACCAAGCTCGGTCGTCTCGTGAAGGCCGGCAAGATCAGCTCCATGGAGGAGATCTACCTTCACTCCCTTCCCATCAAGGAGTACCAGATTGTCGACTTCTTCCTGCCCAAGCTCAAGGATGAGGTCATGAAGGTGCGCACACACAACACTCCAATTCGACCGGGAACCGAAATCGATTTTCGCAGACGACGACGCAACAATCGCCAATGCAGATGAGATTTGGGTTCTCGGGAGTCATTTGGGATATAATTCTGTTTTTTGGAGAGGGAGGGAAATGCTAATTCGTGGTTCCTTTTCCCCAATTGCAGATCAAGCCCGTCCAGAAGCAGACCCGTGCCGGTCAGCGCACCCGTTTCAAGGCCATCGTCCTTATCGGTGACTCTGAGGGACACGTCGGTCTCGGAATCAAGACCTCCAAGGAAGTCGCTACCGCTATTCGCGCTGCCATCATCATCGCCAAGCTTAGCGTCATCCCCGTCCGTCGCGGTTACTGGGGAACCAACCTCGGTGCCCCCCACTCCCTGCCCACCAAGGAGTCTGGAAAGTGCGGTTCCGTCACCGTCCGTGTATGTACACCCCGAAATCGACTCTGCGCATGAAAAGAAGAGGGGGAAAACTGACTAGATGGAATTCTACAGCTCATTCCCGCCCCCCGCGGTACCGGCCTTGTCGCCTCCCCCGCCGTCAAGCGTCTCCTCCAGCTCGCTGGTGTTGAGGACGCCTACACCTCCTCCGCCGGTTCCACCAAGACCCTCGAGAACACCCTCAAGGCCACCTTCACCGCCGTCTCCAACACCTACGGCTTCCTTACCCCCAACCTGTGGAAGGAGACCAAGCTCAT